AGGCAGAGTTAGAGAGAGAGAGACAGCGAGAAAGGTCTTCCTTCCGCTGGTTCACCCCCTAAATTGCTGCTACAGCCGGTGTGCTGCGCTGATCCGAAGCAGGAGCCAGGTGCTTTCTCCTGGCCTCCCATGCGGGTGCAGGGCCCAAGCACCTGGGCCATCCTCCACTGCACTCCCTGGCCACAGCAGAGAGCTGGACTGGAAGACAAGCAACCAGGACAGAATCCGGCGCCCCAACTGGGACTAGAACCTGGGGTGCTGGCACCGCAGGCAGAGGATTAGCCCAGTGAGCTGCAATGCCGGCCTTGCAAATTGTTTTTTCACCAACACAACCAAGCTGGGCAAGCACTTGGAAGGAATTTAGTACTTCAGAAATTCATGAAAAATGGAATTAAAAGTTTAGGGGCCAATGTTGTGGCATATTGGGTAAAGACCCCACTTGTGATGCCATCATCCCATATGGGTGTCTGTTCACGTCTTGGCTGCTCCATTTCTTTTTTTTTTTTTTTTTTTTTTTTTTGACAGGCAGAGTGGATAGTGAGAGAGACAGAGAGAAAGGTCTTCCTTTGCCGTTGGTTCACCCTCCAATGGCCGCCGCGGCCGGCGCGCTGCAGCTGGCGCACCACGCTGATCCGATAGCAGGAGCCAGGTACTTATCCTGGTCTCCCATGGGGTGCAGGGCCCAAGTACTCGGGCCATCCCCCACTGCACTCCCTGGCCACAGCAGAGAGCTGGCCTGGAAGAGGGGCAACCGGGACAGAATCTGGTGTCCCGACCGGGACTAGAACCCGGTGTGCCGGTGCCGCAAGGCAGAGGATTAGCCTAGTGAGCCACGTCACCGGCCTGCTCCATTTCTGATCCAGCTCCCTGCTAATGGACTGGGAAAGCAGAAGATGGCCCAAGTGCTTGGGCCCCTGCACTCACCTGGGAGACCTGGAAGGAAGCTCCTGGCTTCCACCTGGCCCAGCCCTGGCTATTACAGCCACATGGGGTGGTAAATCAACAGATGGAAGATTCTCTCTGTCTCTCTCAATCTCTCAATCTCTCTTTCACCCCCACCTTGTAACTCTTTCAAATAAATAAATAAATCTCTAAAAAAGGAGAGAGAGAAGTTTAGGGGCAAGCATTTGGCACACCAGTTAAGACGACACTTGGGACACATGCATCCTACATTAGAGAATGAGAGTTGAGTCCTGGCTCTGGTCCCAATCCCAGCCTCCTACTAACGCACACCGTGGGAGGCAGTGGTGATGGCTCAAGTGGTTGGGTCCCTGCCAACCATGTTGGAGTCCTGGGTTGAGTTCCATGCTCCTGGCTTCAGTCCCATTCAGCATGTGCAAGCATGTGGGAGTGAATCAGTGGACAGGAGACCTGTGTGAGAGTGTTGTGTGGGGGTGGGGAGGGTTCTCTCTCTCTCTGCCTTTCAGGTGAAATAAAAAATTTTTTTAAATGGTAAATTAATTTTGTGTAAAAAATTTTGAAATTCATGCATATAAGGGGTCTTCAAAAAAAGAACTTGTGGAAAATGAGTATTGTGAGAAGAAAAGCATGGCTTTCAAAATACCATTTTCCATGAACTTTTTGAAGTACCTTCATATATGTAGAAATGTATAATCATGAAGTAGCCACACTGGAGAGCAAAGGCTCTGAATGATTTAGAAGAAAGTGGCCTAGGCAACCATCATTGTTGACATTTAATACTTTATGCTCGTAATTATTCTACATAAAGATAATCCTAAACTATTGACCCACTTAGGTTATTGCTATATTAAATAGCAATGCTTTGGATTCCACATGTGCTTGTTTTTGGCATTTTCTGTTTCAGTGAAGTCATCTTAGGAGTTCTATGCGTGGTGTGTCTCTACTGTCACCAACAGTTTTTGATTCAGAAATTATGTATGGATGTTTAGTTAGATCTATAATCCCCAGCTGAGTATTAGTTATTGTTGTGGTTAATGTTGCATGACTTAGTTTACCTACTGGCTGCATGGTCAGGAAGATAAAAAATTCCCATGGAAAAAAAATGGGCTTTTTAAAAAATTCACAGTGACCTTGCCTGTTAGAAGATTTGGCTTATCATGTTTTCAGCTACAACCAGTAAGATGAATAACTTTCCCTTTTGGGCGTGGGATAGAACTGAGTGGAAAGTAAGGATTAAGAAACCAGAGGGCTGGCACTGTGGCATAGCAGGTAAAGCCACCTACAGTGCCGCCATCCCATATGGGCACTGGTTCGAGACCTGGCTGCTTCACTTCCGACCCAACTCTCTGCTATGGCCAGGGAAAGCAGTAGATGGTGCAAGCTCTTAGGCTCCTGCACCAGCGTGGGAGACCTGGAAGAAGTTCCAGCCATCTGGGGAGTGAACCAGTGGATGGAAGACCTCTCTCTCTCTCTCTCTCTCTCTCTCTCTCTTTCTCTTTCTCTCTAGCTCTGCCTTTCAAATAAGAAAATAAATCTTAAAAAATAAAAAAATAAGACTGAGAAACCAGGAAGCAGGGCAGGGATTTGGCATAACAGATCACCACTTGTGTGCTCACATGCCTTGTTGGAGTCCCTGGCTCCACTTCCAATCCAGCTTCCTGTTGGCGCATACCCTAGGAGGCAGCAGGCCGATGGCTCAGGTGGTTGGGTCCCATCTCCCTGTGGGAGACCCAGATTGAGTTCCTGGCTCCTAACTTAGGCCTGGTCCAGCCAGATTTTTGGGGACTGAACCAGAGGATGGGAGATTATCTCTCTGCCTTTTAAATATGTACATACATACACACATACATAAATTTAAAAAAAAAAAAAAGGACCTAGAAACCTCCTCACTATGTGTCCACCTTGATGGGTCACTGAAAGATGAGGTCAGTGACTCAGCCTCGGCTGCATGCCGGAATCCCCTGCGGCTTTTACAAGTTCCGACACTCAGACGCTGGCCTGCACCAGTCAATTCAGAAACTCTCGGTGTGGGACCCGGCATTAGTGTTTTGTGTTTACCCCTGCTCCCCCCACCCCACCAGCAGCCCCTTTTGAGAACAACTGGAGTAAGTGAAACGCAGCAGCTGCCCAGCGTACATTTGGTGCCCAATGAATGTCAGCGCCATCCTCTTTTGAGTTGTTCCCTGCTACCCCCACGCTCCCTCTCTGAGCCTCTGGCTTTTCTGAGCCTGCGCAGGAATAGCATTGTGTCTGCCTTGCCCTTAGGTGTGTCGTTGCTGAGTTTGCCTCGGAGCTGGAGAGTCTGTTTTTAACTTCATGATGAAAAAGGCAGAAGTGTATTCTTCCCTCCCTTTAATGCACCATCTCTCTTTCATGCCTCTGTCTTCCAATATTACTTAACTTCTTTCACCTTACAGGTGAAAGATTTGCTTTGCCAGAATCTGTGGATTCAGAAGGCATTCTGACTTCTGTTCCCCTAAGGATTTTATTTAGTCAAACCTTCCTGAATGTTTAAGAATGATCAGCGTAGAAAGAAAGTTTAAGAAATAAAGGGGGTTCCTAAAAATAGAATACAACTCATCCGTTTCAATTAAACATGCCTTCATATTTTCCAAGCATTTTTGAACTCTTAAGCATTTTTAATAAGCTCACTTATGAGTCTTATTGAAAATAAATAAATTACACTTGTTTTCATTAAGGGAAGAGATCTTTTTCCATCCTTGCTGGTATTGTTGAAGGAGATGAAAACGAGTCCAGAACTTGGCAAGGGGAGTGCATTATTAGTGACATATTGGTCACAGATGTGCTGGTAGAGCTACGTTTTCTTCCTGTAATTAGTATTTTAAGTGCCCACAAATTACATGCGAATGGCCAGCTAACTTCCCGAAGAAAAGGGAAGGATGAAAAGATAACGGTATTTGCAAAATCTTCATTTTTCAGGCATTGTAAATAAGTTTTTATAAATGGAAAAATGGCAAGTCTGCTTGCTAGTTATTCTTGTTAAAGGAGAAGTAGTATCAGATGATGCCAACCTTTATTTACCATCACCAGCTCCAGATGTTTTAAGTGAAGTGAAGATGCCTGGAGATGCTACTCTTTGACAATCCTCGTGAATGCTAAGCTTTCCTTACCTTAAGGAAGGCACGGAGACACAGCTCAGGAAGCCAGAAGGAGCTCTCTCTGGCAACTCCATGGCTCACATCTGTAGGCCTCTGAAGCAGGCTGTGCAGGCTGTGAGGAGCTCAGCCAGATATTTTTCAGTTGCAGGAAAGTCCTAAACGAATTTTAAGGAGAGGAGTGACAAGCCAACGCTGGAGACAGGGTTAGGGGCCGCACGAGAGGAAATGCTGTTGGCACTGGGACGCCCAGTACTGTGTTGTCAAAGATGACTGCAATTCCAGATGCAAGGCTCTGACCGTCACGATGTAGTGGGAGGAAAGGGCAAGTTGTAGAGGAACAGGGGTCAAGAAACAGACTGGGCAGACTAACATGATAATGACAAGTTCATCCTCACCATAAGAGTTCTTGAGAATTTTTACTCACCTTGATGAGAAAACTAGGCAAGGGAATAACTCCTAGAGGAGCGGCAGATACCTTGATTTTCATCGTGTTTAAATTGATGAGCTACCCATTTTGAAATGTCACATAAATGGAAAGTGACAGGAAGTGGAACAAAAGAATTAGTGTGTTACGTATGTAAGAAGCTGAGTTACAACACAGAAAAAACTGATCCAGCCTAGTTTGCCGATCCATAGGTAGAAAGTTATTGTCTGTTTGCATTTTTAATTCAACAAGGATGTGCATTTTAAGATTTAGTGATCCAATGATTACACTGGCAGGTGACTTTAAATCAGGAGCTTGTGACAACGTTTCTGAGCCCCAGAATTATTTGATAATCCTGTCAAGGGAATGTCAGTATTTGATGGCAATCCAGTGCTCCCTGGTATCTTGTGTGTTACTCAGTTTTAGAAATCCAAGACATCACACTGTATAGCTTTTAAAAAGCAAACCTGTAGAAAAGACTTCAAGTTCCTTTCCTTCTCAAGGACACCTAGTTTTCTTGCTTCCCGTTTCCCTAGGAAAGTGACAATATTGGAGGACCCTGATCAGAACATTCACCTGAAAAACCTGTCTCTCCACCAGGCGACGACGGAGGAGGAAGCTCTGAATTTGCTTTTCCTAGGGGACACTAACAGGATGATTGCAGAGGTAATGGACTTCCTGCCAGCTGCTCGTCTGGTAGTAGCCTGTATTACATCTTCTTTTCATAAGATAAGAACTATAGATGCAGCAATGACCTTACAAATGATCTCATCCAAACCTCATGGTGCAGATGAAGGAAGCCCAGATCCCGAGAAGTGAGGAGACTCTCCCCAGGGCACCTGCTGGTTACATTCCAGGAAGTGGAACGTAATCCTCTGGATTCTCAACCACCGCGTTCTCTACTTTACTGTGTTACCTTTTTGTTTTCTTTTATATTTTTCGGTGTTATATGAGTTGGCTTGCAATTAATCAGTGACAGTCAGTGATATTTAAAACACAGAGTTCATGCTTCCTAACATCAGATTACTGACATATTAGCGTATGCTTACTTGTCCATATATTTTCGTTTAGTTAGTGATTTGGTGTTCATAAAGCATTTAGAAGGATGCATGGAACACAGGAAGTGCTCTATTATGCTCTTGTTTGTCATAATAATCAAAGATTGAGGCATAAGGACATTAAGAACTAGGGCATATAATGATGAAAGACTCAGCATGTCCTACTAAATCTTGTTCATCCACACACAATTTAAAAAACCAAGAGACAGAGTATATAGCTGGGTCCTGCTGTCCTGTGGATCTAGAAAAAAGGAAAGGTAGAGCCATCAGTACCACTGGAAAACAAGGAGAGGAAGCCATCCTGCCTCAGCACCAACTGTCCTTCCTCCAGTAGACCTTGTCCTCCCTGCTGATCCCATTCCCTCATCTTCAAAAAAAAAAAAATATTGATTGATTGATTGATTTGAAAGGCAGAGTTAGAGAGAGATGTTCCATCCACCAATTCGCTCCTCAAATGGCTGCAACAGGCAGAGCTGGGCCAGGCCAAAGCCAAGAGCCAAGAGTTTCATCCAGGCCTCACCCATGGGTGCAGGGGCCCAAGGACTTGGGCCATCTTCCGCTGCTTTTCCAGCTCCATTAGCAGGGAACTGGATCAGAAGTGGAGCAACTGGGACTGGAACCAGCACCCTTATGGGGTGCAGGCACTGCATGTGGGAGCTTAATCCACTGTGACACAAAACCGACCCTGTTCCCTCATCTTGAGTGAGTTATGGAAAGCTCCAGATCAATTTTACCTTGATCAGTGGGCCATTTGCTTTAAATTATGTGATAATATCATTGACAGCATACTTTCATGCTATTGTTTAATAATATTCTGAGTAACTACCTTTGTGAAGCTTACCTGGTGTGTCTTTTCTTTAAGATTTATTTATTTTTTGGAAAGGCAGAGTTTTAGAGAGGCAGAGGCTGAGAGAGAGAGAGAAAGATTCTATCCATTAGTGCACTCTCCAAATGGCCACAATGGCTGAAGCTGGGCTGATTCGAAGCCAGGAGCCAGGAACTTCTTCTGTCTCTCCCATGTGGGTGCAGTGACCCAAGGGCTTGGGCCATCTTCTATTGCTTTCCCAGGCCATAGCAGAGAGCTGGGTCAGAAGTGGTGTAGCCAGGTCTTGACCTGGCATCCATATAGGATTCTGGCACTACAGGTGGTGGCTTTACCAGTTATGCCACAGCACCGGCCCCTGCTTGTCATGTTTTGCCACTTTACAAACTTCCAGTGGTCTTTTCCTATTGCTTGCTGTTGAATGTCTATTAATAGTATCACAAATAACTGAAACCTGTGGAAGTCCATTTCTAATAATGCTGACTGTGAGTCAGTTTGTGTCTAGTTTGTTCATTTTTTTTCCCCATTTGAAACCTGAGTCTGGCAAGTTTGGGATGTCTCTGTGCTTGCTCTCGTTTTCTCCTCGGGAATCACAGTCACTGTGTCACACTGAGAACCTGCTCAGGGGACGTGGGCTCGTGGTAGGCACTGCATCATCTCTGATGCTCATTTCGCAGATGGAAGCTGAGGTTCAAAGAGCTAGCCCGCTTGCCCCAGGTCACGCAGCCGGGAAGTGGCAGTCAGGTTGAGCCTGGAAATGCATGTCGTTTCCGTACACCACATTTGACAAGTGCAGTGATCAAACTGACATATGTGCAAGGTTTCGAGGGAGGATAGATTTCTGAGTTATTTAAAAAGCATACCAAGTATCTAACACTTGAGTGTATCTCTTGGACTCGGTGGCAGCAAATACCGAAAAATATAAATGAAGAGGAGCTGTCAACCCCTGGAAATTCTTTATTATTCACCGTCTCTAAAAAAAGCATGTTTTAGATTACAACCTAGCTGTCAGAATGTAATTTGTCAGCACAGAATGAGCTTACCAGGATAAAAAGAACACACTAATCATTTTTTTAAGAAAACGAGGTTCCCAATTTCCCATTTACACAGAGAAATCCAGAAGTCGCCATGGTAACTGGAAAAACATTTGCAAAACAAAGTCTGAATATGTGGGACACAAAGTGGAGTGCTCTTTCCTTTGGTGCTCTTTACACATAGCCAACATTTTAAGGAAAAGTTATTAAAGTGGAGCTCCATCCTCTTCTTATTTACCCTGAACTCTTAAATAATTTCTGCAATCCTACCAATGTTTTGAATAAAACCTGATTATGTCCTTAGGGTAAATTTTTTTTGGAAGTTGAATCGCTGGGCCAAGGAGAATAAATATTGTAAAAGCTGAACTGTGTATGACCTAGCGTCAAAACCCACCAGGACTGAATAGGACTAGATAACTTTTTGTCTTATAGTTGAAAGAGTTCTATCAATTAATCAAATCTGACTGAACAGGACATTCTGTATTCGATTATCAGGCTACGCACAGTGCCATCACTGGAACTATTTGTCCCCCACCTTGAAGGCTGAGCCGTACCCCTGACCTGGAGCATTCTGTTGTCCAAGTGTGGTCTGAGGCTAACCTACTTCGAAACACCCTGGGTTCCATTACCCTGTGTTTTGGGTCCTCTTTCTGGTCAATGTCTGTAGAATCTCCACAGTGGAGCCCAGGAATGTGCATTTGAGGATTTTAAATTGGCTCAGGCTAAAGTTGGGGGCAGTTGAGGCTTTACTATGAAGAAGGCTGGCTGAAACCCACTCCCAGAGAGGTCTGTGAATAGATCTATATCCTGTAGCTGGTCAGCATTACAAAAATTGAAAGTTCTGCCCATTTGGTAGGCAAAGAAAAAGTCTTGTTTGATTTACATTTCTGTTTTTGCTCATGGGTTCTTTTTTTTTTTTTTTGCCTTGGAGTGTTAGGGAGGTTTGGTTGACTTGTTGACTGTATGAGGACTAGAGTTATCTTGTTACACTTCTAACTGAGCCTAGAAATAAAGCCAGAGATGTAGTCAGTGCTCAGGAAACAATTTTCTGAATGAATAAACACTAGAGACAATAATTTTTGTGATGTATTTAGCAAATATTAGTTTTTATAAATTTTCTTTTACTTGTTACTTATTTTAAAAAATATAACCCAAGTCTTTATTTTATGATTTCTGATTTTGATGCCATGTTTAGAAGTGCAAAAGTTCACTGTTAAATAATTCTGATTATGAGGAAGGGTTTTGTTGTTTGGTATTCTAATTTGAATCTACTCCATTGTTCCTATTTTAAGCTGAGGCAGGGAAAGGACTGGTCATCCTTAGGTTATAGAAGGTCTTTTATTTATTTTAGATTATAGATTGCCAAATATAGTTGCATATATTTTTTGGGTACAAAGTTAAGTCATAGTTTATGAAGATAATGTTGAATACTTAGATCATGCTAATTAACATCTTTACCACCTCAAATTCTTAGCAGTTTTTTTTTTTTTTTTCTGCTGAGAAGTGGATCTTATAAAAGGTTTGTAGAGCACGGAGATTTTATCCGAATCTTGAAAAAGGCTATGCTGAGGGGCCGGCGCTGTGGCATAGCAGGTAAAGCTGCTGCCTGCAGTGCTGGCATCTGTACGGGTGCCGATTCTCCTGGCTGCTCCACTTCCTATCCAGCTCTCTTCCAGGCCTGGGAAAGCAGTGGAAGATAGTCCAAGTCCTTGGGCCCCTGCACCTGTGTGGGAGACCCAGAAGAAGCTCCCAGCTACTGGCTGCAGATCAGTTCAGTTCCGGCCATTGTGGCCATTTGGGGAGTGAAGTAGAGAATGGAAAACCTCTCCCCTCCATCCCTCCCTCCCTCTCTCTCTGTAACTGCCTTTCAAAAAAAATAAAACTTAAAAAAAAAAAAAAGAAAAAGGTTATGTTGAATTAACAAAATCAGGTTTAATTTTAAATCCTCCCTTTAGAAATAACCTCCACTGAGAAATATGCTGTTTAAATATTCAAATTAAGGAATCCCAGTGAATGGTTAGGCCAACATTTATAGGCTGAGGCCCCCGCTCAGTGTATATGTAGAGGCACTAACCTGCAATACCTTGAAATGTAGACTGGTTGGGATGGGAGACAGAGTCTGCAGAGGTAAAATGAGGTCAATAGGACGGGCCATAATCCAAATACCGGAGTACTTATCAATAGGGGGAATTTGGAGAGAGATCCAGATATAGGGAGAATGCTGTGTGAACAGGAAGATACTGAGCTTCAAACCATGGAGTCCTGGAATAGGTCCTCCCCTCAGAGTCCTCAGTGGGAAGCAACCTGCCAACCCTTGCCTTTTAGGCTTCTTGTCTTCAGAGCTGTGACACAAAACACTTGCGTTGTGTAAGCCACCCAGTTTGTTGTACTGCATTACAGCAGCCCAAACTAATAGCCAAGTGACCTCCTAGGTAACTTCTTATGCAGTGGCACCTGGTAGAGCTCTTGACCTTGATGGATTCAGGAGCAGTCATGTACTGGATCTAGTATTCAGTGTTCGCAGTGAAGCTGCTAGGAGGGGACTGTTGATGAGTAAAGAAGGCTGTCCCGACACTGGGAAGGCCCACTGGCAGGTGGCATGCTTTCTTCCCATCTGCTTCCCTTCCGGGGTGAAGCACTAGGTGACTTCCCCCAACTCAGTGCTGGTATCCACTCTGGATCTGTCACCATCACCACCCATCCCTGCCAGTTAGTGCTGAAAAGCATGAGCTTTGGCCACCTCATTTCCTG